AAATGGTCAAGAATGCGATTGCGTGGGCCACGCAAAAGGGCTATGTGAGACAGAATGAGATCCATGGAGAGACAGAGTACAAGATTCCCACCAAAGAGTCTTTCAGTTCTAGTGACATCCAGCGAACCAGGCAAGAGGCATCAATGGACTTTGAAATGCAGGCCTGCTGTAGCCTACCTTTCCGAATAAAAACTAAACTGTGGCCACTGCTCTGCAGGATGGACACATGCTCTTGCTCGGTTCTGGTGCTATGGGGGCAAGCCAAACACATGGACTGACTGGGGCCTAGAGAGCTGGAAACATTTTGCAACATGTACGTGACTCATAGTGTTTTTGTGTTGACCCAGGAGGGGTGCCAATACCCAAAACACTGCGCTGGCTGCGTCTCGCATTGTTGGCGGTGGTTCAGGGAAATTGGTTTTCCCAATTCTGCAGCAAGGTACTGATCCATACAGTAACTTGGCCATTAAAAGAATGCACACTGACAGAAGCACCAGGCAAAGTATTACAGTTTTTGCTTACTGAAATCATATGCACATGTGTGAGGTGTACTCCGCCAATTCTTGGAGATTGCCACGAAAAAGATCATGAAAGCTGAGGATTTGAAGGTGGGTTTAGCTCTTCTTCAGTCCAATATAACATGGGAGCCCTGCCTGCTAGGAGAAGATTACTACCTACAATACGGACAGATCCAACACGAATCTCGTTTGTGCTATTCAGTTTGTTAGCAAAACATTGGATGCTACATGATCGCAAAGAATCTACTATTTGTTCTGCGACAGCTCAGGATCCTTGTGGAGTTGGAGCAAAAGCTGCAGGACTTCAAAAAGCAATACCAAGTACTTGTCGCACTGGAGTCTGATGCTTTGTCCATGGATGACGAACCGGATGTGTCTTAACCTTAGTCATGCTTTAGGTGTCGAGTGAATAAACCAATAGGCCCCGAACATCCTAAGTGCTGCTCAGGGGGAGCAAGAAGTCACTTCGCTCCGCTTTGGTGCAGTTGATCAAGGATGATTGTTCTTTGAACCATATCATGACTCGCTGCAGGTGCACGTGCTAGCTTTGTTTTGCTTTAGTGATATGGTACGCGTTGATGTGCAATGCTCCATGCCCTATCGGTTGCCAGGTCTGTGAAACCCAAGGCTGAACCCAAACCTGCAGCCAAGCCCAAAGTTTCTCCGAAGGGGAAGGCCAAAGCAAAAGCTAAGGCCGCAGGTAGGGCTGTGTCTACAGCGGATGATGGTGATGATGAGGGTGAGAGTCCTGCTGGATGTGAACAAGAGGAGGAGGAGGAGGAGGAGGAGGAGGAGGAGGAGCCTCGATCGAAGGTACCCCCCCGAAAACCAAAGGCGGTCAAAGGGAAAACAAAGGCAAAGGCAGCCTCTGCAAAAAAGAAGGGTTCGCGGAAGTGATTCGATGATTTGATGTTTGATGATGCTCGTAGAGGTAGCAAATTTTGATGGGATATGTTCATGGCCAGTTGTTGCTTGTAGGCTTTATTCAAAGAAAATCATGTGTGCATGTTTTGCATTGTTTGCCTTTCTTATATCATTGATGTACGTTTGTTGTTTCCTGGCCATGGCATTAGCAAGGTTCATTTTGCTTGCTTAGCGCAGTTGTACTATCTGTGTGCAACCCGTCGTTGCCACATAAGTGTTTAGTGCAACCTGGAAGTCTGAAGTGTTGGAAAAGGACCATGCCTTCAATGTTCTAAACCTCAAGTGCTTGGCTATCCTTTGTGACATTTGTGACACTGTACAGCCAGTGCAAGAAACACTTTAACGCAACCAAGCCAGGTGGGGCTGGATCTGCGGGCCTTTTGCGAGGCATGCACATTGAACCCATGGCATGTATATATATATATATAGATGCATGTCTGACATACCATATGCATACATGTGCATTTTGATCTCTGGTAGGCCACCAGGATGATAGCAGTGATGATGGGGCAGCTACAGAGTTAGCTGAAGAAATCATTGCTGACTACCTGTCAGGGGCTGCTTGACATTCAATTGCTGCCTGTGGTGGTTTGTTTTGATGCAGGGGTTCACTAGTTTTGTGAGGCAGAGTCAGCGTTCAGAACTGGGAAAGTTGCTTCTATGGTATGCCGTTTGCGGAAAAACAAAGGTGACTTGATTAAACTTAGGCAGGATACCCACTATTTTTTTGGAAGAGATGAGTTGATATGTGTGGTTTAGGAGTCCTGTTGGCTAGGTACACAGGATCTTTTGCATCAAGTTGCCCGGGTAAACCGAACACCTGGAAATGCTTGCAGAGACCTGCATCGCTTGCTGCACCGGAAGAAGGGATTGCTAGTTCCAATCCCTATTGATGTGTGCTCAGTCCATATCAAAAGAAGACGGCCATTGAGGCGTTTCAAGGTTTGGTGGCCTATCCTCAAGCTCTCCAGTTGGGTGAAATACTTTATTTCATCCAAGCCCCAAATGATACTTGGTGGCTTTCATGCAAAGGAAGTTCAACAGTGGCAGTGCTTGTTCAAGAACTTTTGGGATACTTACCGCTGCGTGGATGCCACACATCCATTGTTCACTTCGTCCTATGACTTGTCGGGTTGTGTGCCATTCCTCCTACATGGAGATGAGGGTCGAGGGTTGCTTCGTAGACCTTTCATGGTCATAGCCTGGCAGCCACTTATATCATTTCATGGGGTAGATGTGTGCAATGACTCTACGCAACTTAGCTGTGATAGAAGTTTTGGTTTTGTTCATGTATACACCAGCATGCACAAATAAGCTGACCGTATGAATAAAAAATCTGGGCCCAGGCATTCCTTCACCACCCGATTTCTCTTCTCGGCCATTTGCTCCAGCCTCTACGATGGTGGTTCCACGGTCGATGACCTGCTAGCAGAGTTTGCTAGGGATGCACTTTCTGCATATGAGGATGGTATTTGTGTGCCTAGATGGAGTTAAAGGGTTGAACAGGTATGCGTGCAATCAATTGGTCATACACCAGCTTGCTGAATGAAGAACATATTTCCACTCCTATGTCTCACCCCTGCCCTCTCAGGATCTGGGTGGAGTTCGCCTACGGATGGTATGCCTTGGAGTGAAAGGTGATTGGGTGTGGCTCCGAAAAGTGGTTTGGTGGAATTAGAACTGTTGGAAACAATGCTTTGACTGCTGTTGGTTGGTGATTTGATAGTTGACATGACATCTTGCCATCTATGAGGCGTTTCATTTGAGTACCGGCTTCAACTGCAAGAGGCTTTGTCATCGCTGCCTAAGTACGGACTGGTCATTTTTTCTGAGGTTGTTTGTGTGAAAAAGCAAGTACTTGAATTGGGAGTTCATGAGACTATTTTTTGGTGCAGGACTGGGAAAACCCTACAGCATCAGCGGAGTGGAGGCAACTGGGTCCAGGCCCGTCACCCTTCCGTGATGGATGCCAGCTTTTGGTTGTGCCTGGATGCCATGAACCATACTATGTTCGCCAGGGGCTACTGCCATGTTTTCCACCTTGGGTATGGGCTGGATGTTGGTGCTAGCTCCATTGTTCTCTTGAGCAAGCTGGGGCACTTTGGGGTTGGAAGATTGAAACACAGATTGGAACATGCTTACCAGCGCTTTGATGAATGGTGCCGTCACAATTCCAAGTGCACTTCAATCCAAGAGTTTTCAATTCTATCCTTGGATATGGCATCGACGCTAACCTAAGCTAGCAAAGGTTCACTCTTTATGCATCTTTGAGGTGTAATGACCCTGGTTTCCCTTCTGCCCTTCCATGGCATTCCTCAGGAACAGTGACTGGCCCACATCCCTCGGCGGCAAAGCTTTCGACACTGGCCTGGTCATTTCTTGGTTGGAGGATGATCTCCAATGTGACAGTGAGGCCATTGCTTGACTGTGGCCATATTGAATTTGCCTCCATGCACTGTGAAAAATGGTGGATTCAGTCAACATGCCTCTGTATAGTGTACCCTGGAGGTGGATCGTTCGGATGAGCTCTACCAAATGTGCGCATATCTTCTTCGATCTTGCAATCGCTTTTTCCGCATCTGCAGGACTGACCCTTCCAGTTGTTTTGCCTTGAGGGGAATATTGTCCATGCATGCATGTATTTATAAAATATTGACCTGGAGCCTCCAAAGTTACAATAAATCTTGAACTTCTGGAACTTCTGTACTATGACACTTGAAGGAGCAATGGAGTTTGGCTCATGGGTGATGCTTGTAAAGCAGCTGGGATGGCTGGTCGTGAAATGAATGTACCTTGGACTTGGAATGGTACCTTGATGGTAAGGAACTTGAAGAACTGCTAATTGAACGTTTGAGTCAAACACTATAAATAAACCAAACCTTATGTTGCCCAGGTGACCTTTGCTCATCTTGCCACGGCATCCTACAACAGGGGCTACAAGCTATATCGCTATCGCCCTAAGTATCACTTGGGTACGCACTTGGTTGATGAGATCAAGGAACCTGTGTCCTTGAACCCCTGCTGTTCCTAGGCAACACTAGTCATGCATGTATACTTTTTCCTCAAGGTGTTGTATTTAATTTGGCACAACAAGATGTCTAGGGATGAGATGTGATATGACTATTTCTGTCAGGCATGGCAGCTTGGCATGATGAAGATTACATTGGCAGAGTAAGCCAAACAGCCCGCTCTTGCCATCCTTTGACGCAAACCTTGCGTACATTAGAGAAATGTCTGGGACAGTACCAGACTCAATTCAAACAGCTCTCGGACCTAGCCTGGGAAGGGTAAAAGCAAAGAGTCTTGTGATGGCTGCTGCTTGGAGGCGTGAATGTGGGAAGGTGGGACAAGTCGTGCAGTTTTGGTAGATTTCGTAGAGATTTCTTCCAAACCGTTCAAATCGTACCAATAGTACAAAAGTTCCAGAAGTTCAATATTTATTGGACTTTGGAGGCTCCAGGTAGGAAACCATTTCGACTACTATATCACTACACGGATATTCCATGAGCACCCAGGTCCTAATGGCTTGAAACCGCATGTCTGCTCTGGCTGGGACGCTGATCGCTCCAAACGCGGTCGTCAGAGGTGACCACAAACGTGAGGAGCTGGTGGGAGTAATGTCCGCCTCTGAGAGTGTATCATCCTGCGTGCAGGGTTTAGGGTTTAGGGACCGCACGCCCCGCCCGACTTGGGAGGGAGTGCTGGGAGCCCCACATAGCCCCGTGGTGAGGGGGAGTAGAAGGTGCGGGGAGCGGTTTGTTCAGAACCCCCCTGAGATGAGATACCCCAAATCACCAAAAATCAAATACTTACATTGAAAAGAAAGAATGACACCCCCTAAACCCGGGAAATGCGCCTGGAGGGGATGCTTTCCAACCAAATGGGTGTGTTTATATCAATGGGGACACCTCACAGTTCGACTAGACCGCCTAAAAAAGGGAAGTATAGACTCTAACACCTATTGGTTGGGGCTCCAGTCTCCGGTCTCAAAAATGGGTATCCATGGATTTGGTTCTGGGACTGAGCAGAGGGCAAGTGGACAAGTGGCTCCCCCTCAAACGTGTGTACTGAAAGTCCAATAACAATTGCGAACCACAATACCAACAAAGCGAAGTGATTTCATGACAAACAAGTGAAGTAATCCTCAGAAATCAGCAACAACCTAACGGACATGTCCTTTTTCATTACCCAGACACTCCATGTATGCCATATATAGATATGCCTACATTGACCACCAAAACCACCCCAATGTAGGCATATATGGCATACATGGAGTGTCTGGGTATGTCTGGGTTATATAGTGCATGGGAACCAGTTTGTTTCATCGTTCTGTGATTGTATGGTTTGGGCGCCACGATGCAATCGCCCACAACAGGAAAATCATCTAAACACACAATTCTCTGAGTGGACTTGGTTGCTTCACGCCAGTGTGAAACAGGCAATTCTTCTCTTGAAGATCTGAATTAATATGTAGTATGCCGCTTGCATACACCTATGTAACATGTTGACTGTCTTTGAATAATTGATGTGACCAGCATCAAGTATATACTATTGTTTACTAATTCATGATATATCATGATATATCATGACAATTATGTCCTATTCTATTGCCCATACCTCATACTCACCAACTTCCTTTCCGTCCTTGAACTTCACCAAATATGCAAACGAAGCTTCATAGAGAGCTCCAGCCAGGCTTCGTCCAGCAAAGTCATTCTTAAAGTAAAAGTCCCGCCAAGTTGTAAGCTTTAGCGTCAAGGTGTCCTGATTCCATTCACCCGTACCTGCGAAGCGAGCCACCAAACACGCGCCTCGCACTGTAAAGAGGATCCACCCTTTCACTGTGGCAGCGAGGACACTGCATGCTTTGGCTATAGAAGAACAACAAAACGGACGAGTGAAGGAAACCTAATGTAGACTTCTTGATCACATGTTTCAACCTCCCTATTGAAGGGGCTTTGCAATCCAACTGTTGGGGGGTTCTATTCATCAAGCGGCTTAGGCGAATCACGCCACTCTTGAGAGACTTGAGAGATCGGACTGCTGGTGCTACGCTCTACGTGCACGCTCCTCTCAGAGCTACGTACTGCGGCCCAAGGGACTGAAGCAGGCCGCCACATCAGGCAAAGGAAGCCCTTTCAACCAGTAGAGGCCTGCAGGATCTGATTCTGCAGGGCAGGGCAGGACTTGATGGGCCTTCATGAGTCCAAGAAGTTGAGCTAGTAAAATCAGGACCTACCAACACATACAAGCACCACCCAAAGAGATGGTCAATGGAAAACACCTGGTCAGGGAGTCAGGAGGGCCCATGATGGTCTCTTTTTGGGTGCTGGTACTGAATCTGTTTGCAGGAAAACATCGGCTTTTCAGGCATGACACCCGAGATCTTCTTGGGTGCTCGCAGGTTCTCTGGCACGTGCCGAGGATTGCAAAGCAACTTGGACTTCTCGACCAAGTCCTTGAGCTCAATATCTTCTTCACATGTTGGGAGCACTGAACTACCTCAGCGCAGGATCAGGAGGAGTTCGAGCTATACCACGCGTGAGTCGATGCTCAGAACATGGCTCGATGCGAAAGAACCTGTTGGGTCTTCGGGTCAATCACGACCTGAAGAGCCTTGGGTCGGAACATAAGGCCATACCATACCAGCCAGGCCTGTGAGTTTGGCATGTACAGGGCATGGTTGTGATGCAGTCAGGGGGAAAAGCATGAAAAGTCGAGTGTGGCCATTGTTATGACTTGTTCCATCGAACAAGAACAATGAGGGTTCCATGAATTAAGTGTTGATTTCTGGTCGTATTTCAGAATCCACCTTGACACGGTCAGTCAATTTACATCTGTGATAATATAATATCTTATTGTGTATCTAATGCATGCAAAACCCAGTCAATTCTTTGCATCCGGTGAGCCATATGTATAATTGTGTATATATATATACAGCCAAACGAGAACACGCCACGATCCAGCTTCAGTTTTCATGTTCGGGCGCGCGAGTTTGCGCGCGGTTTCATGTTCGGTCGCTGGAAGACCGGGGATCACCCACTTTACTCTGCCAAATCATCCACGTGGTTGGCACCACCTGCTTGGTATTGCTTGGTATTTGAAAGATGGTTCATCCGTACGGGCCATGCCATACCATCATGACCGAACCAATCCTTACGGAGTGCAGTGGTGCAGTGGTGCCACGTTGTGATGGTCATCCGCTAAGACTCCACCGGTTTGTGTATCGGCCCCTAATGATTCCCCCTTTGCACCATCATGCACCATCCCAACAGGTCCCTGATCCGGTCTGCCAACACTGGAGTTCGTCCTCCTCTGGCAGTCCCTGACCCCCTCCCACCCGCGACTAGTGAGTGGAACCGCTCCCGGCGTCGACGTCTGAGGAGCGGACTTGATTTGGCAGGCTGACAAGAGCCATCGGCCAAAGGGCAGCTCTCTTCACTGCTTTGGCTCAAGGCAAGACATAACGGAAGCCAAAGAACTGCCCAGACCTGGGATGGCTTCTGCGTTCTGAACTCGAAGGATATGCAGACAAATGCATACAAACCCAGACACTCCATGTATGCCATATATACCTACATTGACCCCTCAAACCACCCCAACTGATCGGCAGTCCTATGGCAGTCCCATTAGTCGTGTCTGGGAAATGCTGCCAGAATCCATCCGGGCTTTATGATTCCATGCGTCAGACAGTGGTGAACGGCCGCCCCATCCGATCCTCGGCCCCCCTTCGATCCGGCCGACTTCGGCAGCCGATCGGGAGGCGGGTTCCGACTTCGCAACGAAGACGAGGAACACCGGTGTGTTGGCATCTGTTGGCTTCCCCCCAACGCGACCGGTCTGGAACTGCCATTCTGTGCCAAAAGGGCCAGGAGTGGTTGAAGTCGGGGGTCAACTGATCAGTCCGACTTGGCAGTCCCATGGAGTGTATGGCTTCCTCTGTTCACGGAATGCACTCCACTCAGACCGAATGGGACTCGGACTTGGACTCCGCTTGCCGTGCAACGCTTCCAACCGATCCGGTGTGGACCATGCACCCACGAACTGTTCTTACTTGTTGCATGTTAGCTGGCCCTTTTGAACAAGAATTAGTCTTACACATATTGATACAGTACCTGTGTCCATCTTTGTCCTATACTACCAAACAAAAGATATCAACCCCAGGGCTCCTGGCCCACCTCCTCGGTTCGGCGGGCCAGGGATGGGTGGGTTTTGAGGGCCCACCTCGGTAGACCTTCTTTTCGGATGTGGGAGGTTTCGGAGCCCCGGAGAACACCGGCATCTTCTCAAACCAGGTCTCCAGCATCCTCCACTCTGAAACCGCCCCTCAACGAAGACGGAACGATGGCGGCGGGAAGAACCGTCCTCTGAGCCCAAAGAGTTGCGGGACAGCGGGAGCTGGACACCGGTGGACAGCGGGTTTAGAGGTCGGGGAGGTCGGGGTGTTCTGGTTTGAGGCGGAGGTGCCGGTACATCCATGAAATGGAGCTGCGATGTCGGACAAGCATTCCAGGACCATCCAAGGGGTGTCCTGGCTGGACACTACTTAGAGATATCCACTTAGAGATGTCATTGGACACCCATTGGATGGTCCAGGTAGGCTTTGGCACTCTCAATCGAAGAGTCCGTCCGAGTGTCACTGTGCCACATAACGGAAGATGTCACGCAGGTTTTACTCACAGTTGGGTCTAAGCAACTGGCCAGTAACAACGCCAAAGTTTGCTGGCGTAAACATGTTTCATTGTATCTTCTTGAAACTGGTTCACCTGCACCGAGCTGCACTTAACTCATCTATTCAGGCTTCTATCTGCCCACCTGTCTACTGCATATGGCTTTGTTATATAGACAGGAACACTGACTTGTCTTTGCATCCAGTACTTCATCCAAACAGAGCGTCCACCAAGTGAGACTGGATTTGCGGCCACAGGGTCTTCTCAGATTTGCGGCTCCCAGGAACCATCGCCCAAATCGCCAGAAGAGGATTCACCCAGTTTGGGGGAGAAACATAACCCTAAGCAAATCCCCAGGGATCCAGTCGTACCTTCTCAGGTACGGTGATTGGAGAGTTATGTCTAGGTTTGGAGGGTCCAGCCGTACCTTCTCAGAGCCAATTCGTCCACTTCGGAGACCGATGCAGATCATCCGGAAGATCCCGGACCCGATGCAGGGTTTGGCGGGCGACGCGTGAAGCGGCGCCTCGACCCACCATCCCAAGGCAATGCTGATGACCGAGAGGATCCAAAAGATGGCGGTACGAGGGCCTGTACCTGGCAGTACGCAAAGCAGAAAAGGCAGGGTTCAATCGGCAGATATAACGCCTCCGGCATATATATAATGTTTATATATATATATATATGTGGATCTTCCCAGTGACCTTTTGATCCCTTAGTTTGAGGTCACTTAGGCCTGTAAAACGTCACTGAGAAGGTCCTGGTATGTACACACATATAATCACATGTTGTATATAAATGTTTTGACATATTGCCAAGGGAAGGGAAGATTACTACTGAAGTTCTTCAGATATCTTGGGACATGTCCGCACAACTGAGCCAAAGTCAAATGCAAAAGTGTTATATACATCCCTATATATATATTACATCCCCACTATACTTGCAGCACAAAACCAAGCACCACGTACTACATGTTAACTGACATCCCTCGTTCTTACATGCAGCACAAAACCAAGCACCACATGCTTGACTCGTATACGGTCTTTTTTGGATGTCACGTCTTGGACGACGCCTCGATCCAAGGAGTGGAGGCAAACGTAGAGCAGCCACGGCACCACCAAGTAGAACCTGAAAGAAAACAAGAAAGCACATGAATAACACAACAAACAAAACAATGGATCCGGATGGATCAATTAATGATAGAATGTCATCTCAAATGATTCTAAGTAGGAACAAACACATCTCAATATGATTTTAGATGAAGGTCATCTATCTATCTATTTACTATATATAGATATATATATATCTGTCTGTATCTGCCTCTTGCATGCGTCATAGATTTGCATTGTGTCACACATCAAACCGCATGACTTTGCTGGACCCTCTTCAAGCCAACGAATGGCATGACTGCTCCATAAGGCCCTAGTGTCACGAACAAAATCCAAAAACACCAGCAGGGAGTCCCTAAGGATCCAAGTACCCTCTGAGAAGGTGTTTGGGGTGGGTTTGGAGGGTCCAAGTACCTGTTGAGGAGGCACTTGGATCCCTAGGAAGTGTAAATGTTGGATGGTCTGAAGCATCGTTTTCACCGAACGGAGCGATCGGACGCGAAGCGAACGTAGCTCCGATCGTCCTGCCTTACTAATCCCTAGGGCTACTGGCCCATCTCCTCAGGAGGTGGTATTCGACCCCCCTGGCACCCACCCCTGGCCCATCTTCGAAACGGAGGTGGGCCAGGAGCCTTACTACTAATAACAAGAAGCTTTTGCAGCTACTGCTGCGCAGACTTCGACCACCTCCTCACCTCCCCACCGCCCATCCAGACGCAGAATCGAAGGATGACCCCGAAGCGGTCCAGTCAGACCTTCGGACCTTCGTTTCGGTGGGACTGGGGTGGGTGCCATGTTCGGGTCCAGTCATACCTTTTAAGGAGGTACGACTGGAGCCCTAGGGGACAGTACACTCTGACTCACTCGACTAAGCGGACCAACGGATGGTCCCTGGGAAGGCGACGTTCCTTGATGGACCGTGGGGAAACCCCACGGAATCCGTGGGGTGATGACATAATGTGTCCGGAGTGCAACCCGAAACTCCCTGGGTGCAGATGGTCTATGCTTGGTAAACACATTTACTCCAAAGGCTCAGATGGGGTTCTTTCATTCATCAGTCTACAGTCGCCCCCCTCCATAGTCGCCCAGCCACACACATCCGAAGCCAAGGAGCTGTTCCTCGACTCCTAGGGACCACAAGTGCAAGAAGGGGTTGTAGTCATGGACGTCGTTGCTGAAGAAGTCCTCAGCTTCTGGGCTTGACACCAGGGTACCGTAAGCGTATCTGATGCAGCAACATGAGTACCTTATAATTGTTCCGGGCCATCAGGAGGCTGAACATACAGGTTCTTGATCGTTGATGGACTATTATTCAGTCCCAATTGGTGGACTATTCAGTCCTTTTGGTAGCAAAGGGGGCAAAGGGCGAGTTGCTCCAGGGCATGTCAATAAACACGTTGTGGGGGAAGGCCGCGTGCTGCTGGCTTTTGCAGATTGAGCTTGGGTTTCAAGATGCGGAGAAGACCAACACTTAACAACTCACTTGTCTTGCAAACGCGCACATACTCTATGTGAATCCTTGGCCAGTTTAGGCCAAAACTGCCATTAACTTGATTCATAAGAAGATTGCTGAGATCAAAAGTGTTCAGATAGGGAAGCCTTCACAAGGCATCTGGTAGATAGCGTCATCTCATGGCTGCTCAAATTTCTATGCCCAGTTGCCATGTAGTCATCACCTGGGCAAAAAAGGACAGCTCCACATCTTGAAACTTCCAGGGAGCACTTCCGGCTCAAAAAGGATTTGTGTCGGATCTCTCTAAGCAAAATGATCATATCATATCAAGCTTGTTACCCGCACTCCAATAAACCACAAACTCACAGGAAAGCTTGGGAGCAGATCGTAATATGCAGAAGCTGGTCTTCTCCTATGCCAGCTGTTTTCTAGTTCTGACAAGGAACGTTCGTAGACCAACCAGTTGTTTGCATTGGCAAACCTTGGTGCCGTGAATCTCCGATTCCGTCTTCCGCCGTTTGCAGCATGCAGCTCAGCCCTCACTGCAGTTGAACGAAAATTCTCAGCCCAAAGGTGCATTTGCCACGAAATCTCAACAAAGCTCCGCATCCAATCCCTAAAAAAAGGCAGTTTTCTGTGTCAGCTTGACCAGACTTCGACCAAGTCGCCCAGGTCAGCTTTGCGGAAGGGCTTTCGGGTCCAGGGAGGATCCAGGATCCACCCACTCAGATCAGCTGTCAGGTCACCCGAGTAGATCAGGAGAAACCCACGTAACTAGCGAGCTTGACCACCAAGTAGCTGCGTATTGGGTCTTCAGAAGCGCCCAAGCACCGAACAGCCTACAAACCCTCGCACCTGGGCTCCCTTGCAGGGCACCTTCCCTCGACCGTGCCAAACTGAAACGAGTTGGGTACCACTGGAGCACTAATGTAGACCTGGCAGTAGACTGTTGATGGTTTATCCACCCCGGCTAAACCACCTGGTTCTTCAGTGTGACCGTACTTGATATACTAATTGGTCACTTAAGCCTCTCAAGGGTCACGAACAGCAACCTTCAAAAGGTCACGAACTGAAGAAGCTGGCCATATGACAAGGTTTTCTCCATTCAATTGGGGATGGTTTATGAATCAAGAGTCTACACATTAGGGAGACAGGTTGTTTAGGTACGCTGCAGTTGTCCGTTCTGATGCCACCTCTCGGTCAGCCTGATGCTTCTTCATTCGCCCGCGAACGCGACGACGTCCGAGGCAACCGACGTTCCAGAGAGGCCCACGAGCAAGAAGCGTTCCTTGCAGCAAGCAGTTTACCCGGCGGTGAAGCGGGGTGTAGCAAGCGCGTGTGAAGCGCCGCTTACGTTTCGTGCTTTTGGCCAAACAAAACACACAACGCAGCATCAACAAAAACAAAAGAAACAAACAAATCAGAACCCATCCTGGGCATCCTGGCCCGTCCTGGACCCTGTCCTTCCGTGTCGTTCTCCACCTCCGTCCATGTCAAGGTCCGAGCGTCTGCACGGGGATCCCATTGAGGAGCCACCAAGGCCAAGGCCAAAGCCGTGGACGAGATGACGATCAAGGCGGTGGGCAGCAGACCTGACGTCCATCTTTCGAAGACATTGGGGCCGAAGGTTCGATCAAATTTGTTGATAGATTGGTTCGGTTGTGTGAATGTGAACATGGACATGGATTTGAGGGGGGTAACCCATTTGCAAAGGTTTTGCTGTTCACTGACTGGAAAAGGAAGAAGAGCAAACCGTCCACGATCTTGCCAAACGGCACAAATTATTGCCTTGTTCAAGAAAAAATGCCATTACGGCCGTTCAGGCGTCTTATTCCAAAGACGGCGCTTTTTTGTTGTGGCCAGCGGAAACCGGTGGACACCAAGAAGCAACGGCCTTTTGAGGCGTCCAAGACGGCGTCTTTCCGCCGTCCCTTTGATTTTCAGCACATGTTTGCACCCCTAAAACGGCATGTTTTTTGATTACGTCGTCTTTTCACTGGAACATGCCTCCCGCAAACGTTTCTGCCGTTATGTACTGTTTGAAGATCCAGGGTATATAAACACATAAATGTAT